CCAGATGGCAGAGAGGGCTCCCTGCAGAATGAAGATCTCATACTTCAGGGCAGGCCACGACCACTGGAGAAAGGAGTGCACATCCCGGGAGGTTCCTAAGTCCCCCGGACTTAAATGTCAGCTGCCTCCACATGGGAGGAGAGGGAGGCTGGAGTCTGCAGAGAGTGGAGGGGCTGGGCAGCAGCCTTCCTCCTGTTCCACAAACACCTCCAGCTTCAAAGATAGTCTTCACTCTGCTGCAGCAAGGTGGAGCATGACCCTTTTAAACAAGGTATCCTGGTCTCCACACCTGGCCAAGCCTCAGCACTCAGTCCCCAACCTGAGCCTGAGGGGTCCTGATCCTACCCTGCTTCCCAAAGTGGGTGACCGACATGTGAGGGAGCACAGCCCTGGAGTCCATACTTCTCTGGAGAGGGACCTTCAGCCACCAGGTCACTGCTATGCTGGGGCTGCTCTTCCCAAGGCAGAGCGCTTCCAGGGTCAAGGGGAACCTGAGAACCTAAATGGAGCCCCACATAATCCATCAGCCCCCCAAAAGTTTGGTTTTATGAAGCATTTGAGATGTTTTCTGCTCCAGCATGGCTTTAGAAAGTAGGCCAGAGGCCCAGAGTTCTCAGAACACAGAAGAGAAGGCATGAGAGTGGTCTGCTCACCCTCAAAGTCTCTAATAAAATTGGTTATTTGGGCCTGTGGGGTTCCGACATTTTTGGCATATGTTGTCTGAGTGTCCCCTTTTGGAGGTTGGGATACTTTGTGGGTGGGGTAGAAGCCACTTCTACTCTATGGTACTCAAGATTTGAGGACTGTGGGTCAACCCAATGTCATCTCCTAAACACATTCCTCTTTTCAGTTCCTCACAGTAGGGTTTACTGAGGTTTCTGTTGTGACTCTGTCCTGCCCTAGTCTAAGTTAATTCTGATCGAGGAAGGATGCTCAAACTGAGCCTCAACTGTTTGTGGGGTGGGGTGGTGCTCTGCACCGGACGTTGCATCCACACGACTCCTGAAACAGAATGCTACGGGCACCAGTGACAGTCACAACAAAGTTTATTGCAATGAGAGGCAAGGCAAACTGATTGATCTGGACCGACACTCTTGACCAGAGTGGGTCTCGAACAGCCAGGGTACAGAGTTTTTATAGCCTACCACATCGTCATATTATCACCTGGGAACAGAACAAAGGAATAGTTCCCAGGTGGAAACAGTTCAAACAGGCCCTAGCCCCAATCCAATCAAGCGCTAATCCATCCCTTGATTGATAGGATAAGGCTACAGGTTAGCCCTACCCTTACACCGGACACTATTATTCAAGTCCTTTAGGTCACAAGGAAGGGAGCTGATCACTGGGCATCTGCCCCGCAGGGACTCTGCTGCCCATGAACACACTTCATGGAAAAAACATCCCCAGCTCTTCACTTCTCAAGCACTGCCAACCATAATTACCTGTTGCTTTGCCTGGCCTATCCATGGGACATCTTGGAGCCAATTATTTGTTTAAATTTTACTTGAGAGAGAGAGAGAGAGAGAGAGAGAGAGAGAGAGAGAGAGAGAGAGAGAGAGGATTCCCAAGCAGGCTCCACACTCAGTGCAGAGCCCAACGTGGGCTCACTTAGTCTTTGAGGAGCTGAATCTTGCCACCAATCATGTGGGTGAGCGTGGATGCAGATCTTTCAGCCCTAGTGAGTCTTGAGAAAACCACAACCTCACGAGAGACTTTCAGCCAGGGTAACTTAGCTAAGCTGTGCCTGGATTCCTGATGCACAGAGACTATGACATAATGTTTCTTTGGGGCATATTCATTTTCTGTGGCTACCATAACAAATGACCACAAGCCTGATGGCTTAAAACAACTTCAGGAGGCCCGAAGTCTGAAATCAAGATGTCAGAAGGCCCTCCGGCTCTAGAGGGCAATCAGTTCCTTGTTCTTTCCAGCCTCTGGTGGTTGCAGGTGTTCGTTGGCTTGTGGCACCGTCCGCACCGTCACTCCAATCGCTGCCTCTTCCTTTACTCTGTGTGTCTCTTCTCAAGACAATTAATTATTGGATTTAGGGCCCACTGTAAACTCCTGGATGATCTCCTCTCAAGATCCTTAGCTTCATCACAACTGCGAAGATCCTCTTCTAAAAAACATAACATTTACAAATTCTGGGGATTAGGATGTTTTATAAATCTGCTCTGGCTGCTATAACAAAATATTACAGACTGGAAGGCTTGAACAACAGAAATTTATTTTCTCACAGTTCTGGAGGCCAAAAGTCCAAGACCGAGGTTCTGGCTGATTTAGTTTCTGGTAAGAGTTTTCTTCCTGGCTTGTAGATAGTTGCCTTCTCACTATGGCTTTACATGGCCTCTCCTTGGTGCATGTAGATAGAAAGAGAGGTGAGAGATCTTTCTCTCTCCCTCTTTCTTTTATTTGTAAGATTTTTTTTTATTTTTAACTAATCTCTACACCCAATGTGGGGCTTGAACTCACAACCCCGAGATCAAGAGTCTCATGCTCTACTGACTGAGCCAGCCAGACTCCCCTCTCCCTCTTCTTGTAAGGTCACCAATCCTATGGGATTAGAACCCTCCCCCCGCCCCCAACCCGTGACCTCTTTTAACCTTAATTACCTCTTAAAGGCCCTATCTCCAAATAGTCACATTAGGAGTTAGAGCTTCAACGTTTGAATTGGGGGGACACAATTCAGTCCATAGCAGACATGGAGATATATTTTTGAAGGTCACCGTTTCAAACCATCACACGGGGTAAGTTGTTATGCAGCAATAGATAACTAATACGTATATACTCCGTTGTAATAATTTGCTCATCCGTCTCCCTGACTGAACTTGAGGACAAGAAGGTCTTTGCTCACTTTTGAATCCTCTAGGTTCTAGCATGGATTCTGGCTCAAAACTTTGCCAAAATCAATACATTATTTTGTCAACATTTAAAAAATATACAGGATTATATTTAATGACATGGACGATGAGTAACATTTTTCTCTGGGAGAAGCAGTTTACAAACTTTTGCATGTTACTGTTGTAAATATGTATAGACTAAAAGAAAATATACCAGGGGCGCCTGGGTGGCTCGGTCGGTTAAGCGTCCGACTTCTGCCCGGGTCATGATCTCACGGTCTGTGGGTTCGAGCCCCGCGTCGGGCTCTGTGCTGACAGCTCAGAGCCTGGAGCCTGTTTCAGATTCTGTGTCTCCCTCTCTCTGTGACCCTCCCCCTTCATGCTCTGTCTCTCTCTGTCTCAAAAATAAATAAACGTTAAAAAAAAATAAAAAAAAAGAAAATATACCAAAGTATTATCTTTCCTTTGTCTTCACTGAATGTGTATTACTGCTATAATTTGTGTCGAATAAGTGGTTTTTGCTTATTTATTTTACCTACTCGTATATATAATTCTGCATCTTTTGTACACAGTATTTTAATGAGAACTTTTCCATGTTAACACATACTTTTCTCAAACATTACTTCACAATACTACATCGAATAATAAGCCACTATTTTCTAAACTATTTTGACATGGAAGTAATTTTTTGTACTCAGTCACACTTCTTCCGAATGTAGAGAACACCTCCTGAACTTACCTCCTTCACCATTAGCCAGTTGCTGGACACTCTGGTGCTAAATAAATCCTTGTAGATTGATAGATTATTATTGTTAGTAAATATAATGATAAACAATTTCTTCTGCAGGATTTTTTGCACGCTCACAAAGTCTCAAGTGCTGTGCAGATGTCTGTGGGAGGATATATATTTTTTAAATGTTTATTTATTCTTGAGAGAGAGAGAGACAGAGACAGAGCATGAGCAGGGGAGGAGCAGAGAGAGAGAGAGAGAGGAAGACACAGAATCTGAAGCAGGCTCCAGGCTCCGAGCTGTCAGCACAGAGCCAGATGCAGGGCTGGAACCCACGAACCACGAGATCACGACCTGAGACCAAGTCAGATGCTTAACCGACTGAGCCACCCAGGCGCTCCTGTGAGAGGATAGCTTAGAGGAACCATCTTAGGCTCTTCGAGAGGAAAGGGTCACATAAATTTAAAATAATACTAACAGCTTTTAGACCCCTGAGATCATTTAATTTTTTAAAAAATTGATTTTATTGGGGCGCCTGGGTGGCGCAGTCGGTTAAGCGTCCGACTTCAGCCAGGTCACGATCTCGCGGCCCGTGGGTTCGAGCCCCGCATCAGGCTCTGGGCTGATGGCTCAGAGGCTGGAGCCTGTTTCCGATTCTGTGTCTCCCTCTCTCTCTGCCCCTCCCCCGTTCATGCTCTGTCTCTCTCTGTCCCAAAAATAAATAAACGTTGAAAAAAAAATAGATTTTATTTTTAAGTAATCTCTACACCCGAGGTGGGCCTCGAACTCACAACCCTTATATCAAGAGTCGCATGCTCCACCGACTGAGCCAGTCAAGGGCCCCTATTTAATTTTTTTTTAAGTTCATTTATTTTTGAGAGAAAGCGAGAGAGAGCGAGCGAGCACGAGCAGGGGTGGGGCAGAGGAGGGAGCCACAGGATCCCAAGCAGGCTCCAGGCTCTGAGCTGTCAGCACAGAGACCGAAGCAGGGCTCGAACTCACCAGCCGCGAGATCATGACCTGAACCAAAGTCTATCATTTAACCGAGTGCGCCACCCCCAGGCGTTTCCCCCTCTCTCCTATTTCATTTTTTTACTAGTAGGAAGAGATGATTTCCTTTCCTTCCTCAAGGCTAATGACAGCTTCTTTATAAATGCTTTTCAATCCACAGAGTGGTCAAGACGAATTCCTACGGGCTCAAAGAGCAAGTCGCTTTGGTCTCTGTCAGATACCGACTGTCCTCGTGTCCCCCACATGCCCTCAGCGCCCGTCCCTCGACGGAGATCGCGCCTTGGCGTCGCCCTGGGCTTGCGCAGCTGCGTTAGCCCCCACTTCGCCCTCTGGCGTCCGGGGGCGGGGTCTCTTTCAAGTGCGCTTGCGCACAAGCTGCGCGGGACCCCGTGCTGCTGCGGTGAAGTCCAAGCCGAGCGATGGCTGTGAGGGAGGCGGCGGCGGGCCCGCGGGGGCCCGGGAGGGACGAGGAGACGGCGCTGCTCTACGAGAGGGCCCATTCCCGGCATGACCCGTGCTGGCTGCTGCCCGTGCCCCCGCGGCTCTGTCTGGCGTGCGTGCTGGAGCTGCTGCCGGAGCCCTGCGTATCGGTGCGAACTGGGCCCCCGGCATTTCCCTCACCAAGCTGGGCCGCCCCTCGCCAGGCCAACTCCCTTGAACCTGACGCACCTTCCCTGGAACTAAACCGGGCCCACCCTCTTCGTTAAACCTACCCCCTAACCAGGCCTGCGCCCTCGCCAGGCCAGGACGGCCTTCTTTGCTATACTACCTCAGCCTCAGTTTACCCCGCCGGCTGCCCTGCTCCGAGCAGACTATCCCCTTTCCAAACCAGCCCCTGCGCCTGGCCATGCGCCTCAGCTGGGCCTATCCCTGTCCCCACTGAGCCCCCCTCCCCTCCAGGACTCGCTGGCACGCAGGTCCACCTCCCCTTCCCGTCTCAGCAGCTGCTGAGTTGCCCCCGCCATTCCTCCAGGATCTTAGCCTTGGCTCGGCCCACGGGCCAGGTACACCCGTAGTAGGGGCCCCTCATTCCCTTCGGATTTCTTAGGGCGTCAGTGTGGAGGAGGGGGCTGCCTAGGTCTCTGTGATGGCAGCGAGACGGGAAGAAGTTACAGCCAGGCAGGGTGGGGTGAAGGGGAACCTTTCTAATAGCAGAGCTGGCTGAAAAATGGGCTGCCAGTTCCCTCAATGCCTACGCACCTTTGTAGTGAGTTTTTGGTCCATGGAGCCATCCAAGAAAAGTTTGGGAGATCACTTTTATCTCACATTCATGGGAGGGGAATTCATGCCTTGGGAGGAGGGGCTGGATCAATGGTTCTCAAAATTTTAAATCTCAGAATGCCTTTATACTTTAAAAAAGTGTTGAGGACCCCAAAAAGCTTTTATATGGGTTATATCCACTGATATTTACTGTGTTAGACAAAGAAACCAATTCTTAAATATTAATTAAAAAATGGTAGTAAATCATTACGTGTTAGCATAATTGGTTTTATTGCTGTAAAATATACATGATATAAAGCCTACCATTTTAAGCATGCAGTTCTGTGGCATAAGTAATTTAAATAAAAATGATATTTTCTAAAAGAAAAAAAGATAATGAAAGGAATAGCTTTGTTTTACATTTTTATTTACATCTATTAAACAAGTCTCTTTAATGTCTAGCTTAATAGAAGTCAGCTGGATTCTCAAGTATTTTAGCATTTAATCGGTTTGTATATTACCTGTCATGTAATCTTTGAAAAACTCCACTGTATACTTGTGAGAGAGTAAGAGTGACAGAGACAAATTGCATTTTAGTATCAAAATAATTTTGATCTTTGAACCCTTTCAAAGTTTTGGGTACCCTCAGGGGTTCCCAGGCTACACTCTGAGAACCTCTGGGCTAGCTGATAACATTTGAGCTATCATTGAGGCCAGAAGTTCTGAGGCTGCCATTCTTGGACAGTGAGTCAGAGATACAGAGATAAATACGACAGTAGGGGAGAAAATGAGAATGCTAAAAACTGGGAATTTAGTAGACAGACATATTTGTGGTCAAGTGCTGTTGGGATAAGGAGGGAAATTGGGAAAAGGTTTTGAGAAGAGGATGCATTTGAATTAAGCTTGAGAAGATGGGTGAGCTTTGGACCAGAGGAGAAGTTGGGGGGAGGGTGCTTATACCAGCAGGGCTTATCCCATTAGCAAGAATGAGTTTGGGGAGGTAATCAGAGTGTTTGAAAGGAAATTGAGGGAGGTGAGATTGAAAAGCCAGGTTAAGATAAGTTCCAAGAGTTTGAATCCAGGCTGAAGAGCTTGGATTTAATCTGACAGGTGAAAGAAAGTCATTGAGATTTTTTGAGTAACTCATTTAGATTACTAGCTTAATGTATTATGTAGGAGGAATTGAAGGAAAACATGAGATTTGCAATAACAGGTTAGAGACAATAAGAGATGCAACTTCACTTTTTATTGAATGCACTTTTTTTTTAGCTTAATCTCTCATCAATTGAAAAAGTATAATATAGTCAGTTGTACCCAAGTTCCTGCTCTATCCTCGGTGTATGCTCTCCTTTTTAACCTAACTTTTTCTACTGTCTTGAGCACTTTGCACAGCTACTACCCAGTTCCCTGTACAGGGAGATGAATTGAGTGTGAAGATTTATGTCCGAGTTGAATGGAAGGATGCATTTCTCTACCAGCCTCTTTGAGGCTCATGAAGGGTCTCCAGCATCACTCTCCTGAACTGTTAAGTAGAAAGGACGCTGACCTTAGACAAGACCTGTTTGGAGATAGATTTGAGTCCTTGGGAATGTCTTTGGGCCTCAATTTTCTCATCTGTAAAATGGTGACAATAATTTTTACTTGCTTCACTAAGTTGTTAGACAAAAGAGTGATTTGTGAACACTAAAGTGCTCTGTAAATATAGGGTAGTAGGAACCTTAGCTAATGTATAATCCTCTGTATAAACACATAGATTCCTGTGTGTAAATGTTACTACTTTCAGGGATTATGACCTTACCATAGTTTAGATGAACCTTCCAGTATCATTTTGTAATTGTATTTAGAAATTATAGTTGTTTGGGTTCAGAATGGCTGAGACTTGGTTGCTATTGAATATTTTCTTCATCTGCCCCAAGTTGGTGCGCAAGAAGCATGTGCTCTCCTGTTTCCGAGATGCTCTCTTGAGACATGCCTCCCTGGTCATGCAGCTTGTGGCTCAGGATCAGAGAGTCTGTATCCACTTCATAAGCATGCTTTTCGGTGAGATTAAAAGGGAAATTTGGTATGCATTTTGCATGTATAGCATGTATATTTACTTTGGGGTCTTGGAGAAATGGTCTTGGAAAGATAATTTAGACTTTTTACGATGTAACAGTTTAACTTATTAGCAAATTGTTTTGTCGTAATGATGAAGAAATGGTCCCTTTTCTAAAACACGTGATGCATCGTATGGTAACTAGCTTTACTACAGCCAAAAGTTTAGTAAAAGTGTGAATATGAATATGGGAAATGTGTGATCTTTCAGAGTCCACTCTGGTCTTTGAAGAGGATCAGAGCCAGACTAGAGTCTGTTGACCTGGGTGTGACCCTGATTGAAATACTTTCCCTCTCCTGTGCCTGAGATGAATTAAAAGGTCCCTTCTTTTAATATAGTTATGATGTCCTATGGAAAGAGCCCTTTTCAGGGAGGAGGGGAGCTAACTCATATTGGATATTTTTTCTCTGCTAGTGGCTTTTCAGGCTTTTAACTGCCAAGTCAGTCCTTTAAGGGAGAAAGGATGATTCCCAAGGCTAAGGGAAGTCCTAGCAAAACAACTGGCAGGACAGGAATTTTACCCGAGGTCCGTTACAGACTCCAAAGCACTCAGTTTTTATGCTGTGCCACACTTGGTGTTGAGGATAGCATTTATCTGGGACATTGCTTAAAGCTACTTTTAGTCTAGAATTTTCAATGTGCCTTTGTGAGTTTCTCTTTTAACTACTAACCATTCCCTTCTCTCCTCCCTCTACTCCAAGGGCTGTTATGTAATGTGGAAGATGGAAGTGTAATAGACCTCTGTATTGAAGGTAAGGTGAAACTATGTGTACCTAGCATTTGAAGCTGGGTATATTAGCTGGGTATATTGCAACTCTGGTTATTTGAGACCTTGATGAAATAAATGTTTCATTTTAGAGACAGATCAAGAAAACTCAATTAGCTGTCAGTCATTGATTCTGCGTTTTTTTCTCAGGCACCTCCTCTGTGCCAAGTACTGTATCAGACATTGGGGATACGTAGATGGATAAGACATGGTTCCTGCCCTTTAAGAGTTTACAATTTGGAGGAGGGATTGAATAGTAAATAATGAGAGCTGATAAGTACTGTTACAAAGGCAGCACAAACTGTTTTCATTACTTTCACATTGGTTAGTTGGAAGTTGTCTGCACACAGGTGATTGTTAAGGCTGCAGAAGTGTGTCTGTTTACCTATAAGGCACTGAAGGAGTGGGGCACCTGGCTGGCCCAGAAGAGCATGTGACTCTTGATCTTGGGGTGGTGAGTTTGAGCCCTGTGTTGGGTGTAGAGATTACTAAAATAAATAAACTTTAAAAGGCTCAAAGAGAAAGAACACAAGAGCACTGGGATAGGAGGACTCTTGCAGAAAGAGTAAGAATTGTATCAGTGAGGGTGTAGTCAGGCAACAGAAACCACATAAGTTATTTGAACAGGAAAAAACTTTAATATGAAGAATTATTGACTATTTAACTGAAGGCAAGAGAAAACACCGGGTTTTCAAAGACGTAGGAATTTCAGAAAGCAGCTTCCACCCACAGGGCTGAGGAAACAAAATGAGGTTGGAATTATTAAAACATAAGTTTTCTCTAAGGAGAGGATGCTGCTTGGCTGCTGCTGGGTCCATGACCATCCAACCACACGCTTAGCAGCTGTGACAGATCATAAGTTAGCATGATTTGTGTATACCTCTGACCATCTCTCAGTCTAGAATGTGGAAAAACAAATGTACCACTTGAAGTTCTGACCACTGGCAGGAATGGGGAGATTTCCCGTCACCATTATGCCACTCTTGAGTGGGGCTATAATCCTAAGGCTGTCCATTGCTGGTTGGTGCCAGCATAACTTGTAAACCTTCATCAGACCCCAAGAACTTAACTGAGGTGGTAGGCACTAGATAGAGACTGCAGAGCCAGAGAGGGAAGAAGGACTTGCTCCTTCCTCGCTGTTTCCTCTTTGTTGCCTGCCTTCTTCCTGTTTCTGTGACTTTTTCCCAGAATGCTTCTTTTTTTTTTTTTTTTTTTTTTTTTTTTTTTTTTAAATTTTTTTTTTCAACGTTTATTTATTTTTGGGACAGAGAGAGACAGAGCATGAACGGGGGAGGGGCAGAGAGAGAGGGAGACACAGAATCGGAAACAGGCTCCAGGCTCTGAGCCATCAGCCCAGAGCCTGACGCGGGGCTCGAACTCCCAGACCGCGAGATCGTGACCTGGCTGAAGTCGGACGCTTAACCGACTGCGCCACCCAGGCGCCCCCCAGAATGCTTCTTTACCTTGGAAGTGCCAGAGTCTTCCTGCAGCAGCAGCTGAGTATAGTTTTGTAGCTTTTCCCAGACGTGCAGAGCCAGTCACTTTTTCACTGCTCCTCAAACATACCAGCAGAAGCATCACAAACGATTGTATACAAGGATGAGTTTGGGGTTGAGAGGTAATAGAGGCAATTAAGGCAATTATTGGCACAGGAACTCACCCATAATTCTATTTTCTAGTATATGAAGGAGCAATTGTGAGGCAGGAATAAAGTAGAGATAATATAAAATAATAGTTTTCAACCTTAGCTTCACAATAGACTTACATGGGTAACTTAAAAAACATCCAGATTCTTAGGCTCTTTCTTTAGAGATTATGATTTAATTGATCTAGAGTGGGAGTTGGGCATTAGTATTTTTTTTTTTTAACTTCCTGGGTGATTCTGATGTGCAGCCAGATTGTGAACTACTGATATAAAACAACGAAGAAGCCAGAAATCCTTTGATTTGGATATGTACACTTAGTTTAATTGGGGAGATAGAAAAGACTATACTGGGGCGCCTGGGTGGCTCAGTAGGTTAAGTGTCCGACTTCAGCTTAGGTCACGATCTCGCGGTCCGTGAGTTCGAGCCCCGCGTCAGGCTCTGGGCTGATGGCTCAGAGCCTGGAGCCTGCTTCCGATTCTGTGTCTCCCTCTCTCTCTGCCCCTCCCCCGTTCATGCTGTGTCTCTCTCTGTCTCAAAAATAAATAAATGTTAAAAAAAAATTAAAAAAAAAAAAAGAAAAGACTATACTGGTAACGCAAGCAAATGACTTTGAGTAGAAGGGCTATGAAAGGTGAGGTGTGGGCCAGAGGTTGTCTTGTGGTTAGTAACACTACTGTGTCTGCTCAGTCCTTATCCAGCTTACAACTCAGCTGAAGTTAGAGCAGACCGTTCATTGCCTGCTGGATGAGTGCCACAAAGAGGTCAGTAAATAGCTGTGGGTTCTTGAGTACCCCTCAGAATCCTCAGATATCAGAGCTGGGCCCACGCCTTTCTGGATCGGTGGGGAGATTGAAATACAGAGAGGGACAGGGAGCTGCCTGAGGTCACTGAGTCAGTGGCAGAGCCAGAGCCAGAGCTAGGGCCTGCTTGGGTCTTCTGATCCTGCCCCAATACTGTTTGTATCTTCCCTCCTTCCCCTTTCCCCCCCTCTGTGTGGTGAAGTCTCATCTTTCTGACATAATCATCCCATGGCTATTCTCTATATCCCCCTAAGTACAATACAGATTTCCTTGACCAACTTAGCAAGGAAATATATTTACTATGTCTTGGCTTAGTGTTTTTCTTTGGTTTGAATTGTATACAATATTTTATACTGAAGTCATTTGTTTTTGTCAGCATCTAAGGCAAGCACTGAGTGGATATATTTAACCTGCCTTCTTCACAGATAGTCACAGATACCATTCAATAAGCAGCTTTTGCATTGTGTTTAAGATTTAGGAATAACATCAGAATCACTTTTTATTTTATTTTTTTTGCAAAAGGAAGACAAATGGGGGCACCTGGGTGGCTCAGTCAGTTAATAAGTTACTTGATTAACTTGATTCAGTTAATCAAGAGACTCTTGATTTCAGCTCAGGTCATGATCTCAGGTTGAGCCCCCCCATCAGGCTCTGTGCTGACAGCGTGGAGCCTGCTTGGGAATCTGTCTTCCTCTCTCTCTGCCCCTCTCCTGCTAGTGCTCTCTGTCTCTGTCTCTGTCTCTCTCTCTCTCTCTCTCTCTCTCTCTCTCTAAATAAATAAATAAATAAATAAACATTAAAAAAAAAAAGGAAGACAAATGTTCATCTTAACACCAAGAACATTTAATTATGAATTATACTAAATTGTCATATCATCATTATAATTGCTCTGCATATGATTAATATATCAGATTGAATTTATCATCATATATGTCAATACTTATTAAATGATTCCGCTTAACCCTTTTGAGCACTTTCTATATGCTGGGCACTGTGTTAGGTGGTTTATGTGCAGTATCTCACTGAGTCCTCCTAACAACCTTATGAAATTGATACTATTATTATTTCCTACCAGAGGAGTTAAGAGTCTTACTTAAAGTGCTATAGCTGGTCAGTAGAAATGGTGAAATATATACTATTGACTCTACTTGTAAGCCATCAAGCATAGGGTCTGATGAATAGAAGGCTCAGTAATGGCCATGGTAATGATAATAATAGTAATACGTTTTTTTTTTGGCACTAAGCCAGAATTCTGTCTTTATGATGTTTCCAACTTTCACTCTCCCAGTTTCTGGCTCTATAGAAGACACAATATGCTAATGTTAATCCAGTTTAACAGTCATGTACTGAGCTAGGTACTGAGTACTCTGAGAGGAATCTGACTCAGTCCCTTTCCTCAAGGTCTTCCCAGTCCAATAGGGGAGATAGATACTTAGTTAAAGAAGCTGATTACCGGTTGTGGTGAGAGACACATACAGTACAGGCTTTGTGTAGATAGGGCAAGATAAATTTTGTTGGGAGATCTGATCCTAATTCATACAGCGGAGTGTGTTCATTTTCTAAAGCTGTGTAACATGCCCTCCATGCGAGGCAGCCTGGCTACCCTGACCCTTCTCGGCAAGTTGGTGGATGCTATCCCTCCCCTGGCAGACAAGCTTGTAATGGAGCACAGTGAGTAACCTCTGGGGAAGAGATGCTACTACCCTTTTACCAGATTTGATCACACTTTATATCACCATCTGGGTGGTCCACTCACTATACACACCTGGGAAGTTGTTACTTTCCTATTCTAGGCTTTCAGTTTCCCATCTGCAAAATGTACTCCATGTTGGCCAAGTTGAAAAAATTCTTGACCCTGGTCTTGAGTTATTTCTATTCATTATGTTAATACAAATTAAGTATCTACTTATGGACCTTCCTTTGGATGGAAGGAGGAATTAATTCTGGAATACAGAGTGCTTTTTTCTATCAATAAAATGCAAATAAATATCTCATAGAGGATTTACTCTAGGGTTAATCACTTCTCTAAACCTTGGTTTTCTCTTTTGATTAAGGGTCCAGAAATTGTTTGTTATGGGAGATTATAAAGGATTACCACTATTACTACCCTACGGGGAACAATAGTTTGGAGTTTCATATAGCAGCTGACATTGTGAGGTTTCCCTGGCCCCTTGGTTGTTTTCTGGACAGGTAATCTGATGGAACATCTGTTGAGGGGTTTAGTATACCCCAATGAGGGGGTGCGAGCTTCTGTCTGTTACCTCTATGGGAAGCTGTACTCCTCACCAGTGGCTGCTGAGATGCTTTCAGGCCATTTCCGGGAGAAGCTGTGTCCTCTCTTCCTTTCCACCCTGGATGGCGCCCAGACAAAGGAGCTACAGATCAACTGTTTGGGTAAGATATAGGACTGGAGAGAAAAGAGAGAATGCTTTTGATGTTTTGCTTGAGGACCTGAGATATTGGCTCTCCAGTGGTAGGGAAGTTTGCCTCTTTGAAAAGGGTAGAAGCCATGGGTTTAGGAGAGAAGACGGATAGGCTGGGGGTGCCTGGGTGACTCAGTTGGTTGAGGGTCCAGCTCTTGATTTTGGCTCAGGTCATAATCTCAGGGTCTCAGTGGGATTGAGCCCTGTATTGGGCTCCGTGCTGAGTATGGAGACTGCTCAAGATTTTCTCTCTCTCTCCCTCTGTCCCTTTACCCCTCACTCGTGTGCATGCACGCATTCTCTCTCTCTCTCTCTCTCTCTCAAAAAAAAAAAAAAATCTTGAAAAAGAAAAGATGCACAGACTATGATAGATGCCTATCTAAGACCCTTGCCTTTGGGGGCACCTGGGTGACTCAGGATGTTAAGCATTCGACTCTTGATTTCAGCTAAGATCATGATCTCATGGTTCATGGGTTTGAGTGCTGAGTCAGGCTCTTCACTGACAACATGGAGCCTGCTTGGGATTCTCTGTCTCCATTTCTCTCTGCCCCTCCCCCACTTGTGCGTACTCTCTCTTTTAAAAAATTAAAAATAAAAAAATAAACTTGCCTCTGCAAGGAGAAGAAGAAAGTGGGACAACAATTTTTCTGCCTCTGGTTTTTACTGCCTGCCCTGGTGTCTCCTGTTTTTGCTGCCAAGTTAATCTTCACACTGCATAGCTTGCGTTTCCTGTTTCCTATTTGAAAAATCATCTATGGCTCCCTCTGGCCTCCAGGTGATGTGCAGTTTTCCTACTTGTTATTTGAGGCTCCTTATGAGCCCCCGTGTACCCTTTCAGCCTCTTCTTCTGCTGTTTCCTTATGTAGGTACACAAGACCCTTGAAATGCTCCAACTAGAGAGATTTAACATTTTTGAAAAAATTTATTTCATTTATTTTGAGAGAGAGAGAGAGAGAGAGAGAGAGAGAGAGAGAGAGAGAGACTGAGAGAACAGTCAGGGCAGGGGCAGAGAGAGAGGGAGAAAGAGAATACCAAATAGGCTCTGTGCTGTCAGCACAGGGCCCAATGTGGGGCTCGAATCTATACACTGTGAAATTATGACCTGAGCTGAAATCAAGAGTCGGATACTTAACCAACTGAGCCATCCAGGTGCCCCTCACATTTTTTAAAAGTAAACTCCACACCCAGCATGGAGCCCAACATGGGGCTTAAACTCACGACCTGAGATCAAGACCTGAGCTGAGATCAAAACCTGAGCTGAGATCAAGAGTTAGATGCCTAACCGACTGAGCCACCCAGGTGCCCCAGGAGCTTTCACATTTTGAACAGAGGTACTATGATTGGTAACTGGGTGAGGGCCTATTCCAAAGCAGGAGCTACAGGGAGAAGCATTGTCTATGGGTGACAACAGTTTCTTTTCACAGTTTGGGCCAAGAGTTCTGTTATAAACAGTCTGGCCATACATAGTGAGTGTTCATTTTGGGCCAGGACCTGTGTCAGGCTCTGGGGTCATAAAGATGATCAAACCCAAGCTCTATTCTGAGGGAGCTCATAGTCTAGTGTGGAAGAAGGATGTGGACAATTAAAGATTAGTGTGATAAGTGTTGTCCCAGAGGTTGCATACAAGAGCATGGGATTCTATTTAATATAATGTTAGAGGTCCTTGCCATAACAATGAGGCAAGAAAAAGAAATAAAAGACATTAAAATTAGGAAGGAAGAAGTAAAATGGTCTCTGCAAATGCTATCATCTTATATATAGAAAACCCTAAAAACTTGACCAAAAAACTGTTAAACCTAACAAATGAATTTAGTAAAGTTGCAGGATATAAAATCAGTTGTTTTTCTATACACTAACAGTGAATTATCTGAAAAATAAAACAATCCCATTTATAATAGCACTAAAAATAACAAAATACTTAGGAATGTCTGTGGTGACATGATGAAATTTCTAGAGGATGTCTGAGGGGCTACCTTAGGCATACTCTGGTGCCTATACTTCTCTCGCCTCACCTCCCAACCCTTTTGTTTTCTAGGTTGGCTGAGACAGCTGCTGAAGTACGATCTCTTTGTGTCCGTAATCATGAATGAGTCTTCACTGGCAGAAAGTACGGAGGGTGTTGAGGGGCCACCAGGAAAGACCTCACTGCCTTTGGTGCTCAAAAAGGTGCTTGTCTCATGATTTCTGGTCTCTAGGTTCAATAACAAGGGAACTGGTATGGCTCCTGGGCCTTGTATCACTCCTATCTAAGATTTCTAAGGTGTTTTCTTACTGGCTCAAACAATATGCTGTTAGAGTACTCAAAGTACAGTTGACCCTTGAACAACATGGGAGCTAGGGGCCCTGATTTCCCCTGCAGTTGAAAATTCACATAGAACTTTTGACTCCCCCCCCCAAATTTAACTATTAATAGTCTACTGTTGACCAGAACCCTTACCAATAACATAACCAGTCGATTAACACATATTTTGTATGTTATATGTATTATATTCTGTATTCTTAAAATAAAATAAGCTAGAGAAAGGAAAATGTTACTAAGAAATTCATAAGGAGGTGGCAGACAGCCTCTCCTTTGCTCTCCCTTGTGGTATATTTAATAAACTTCTATCTCCTTTGGAAAAAAAATTCCTAAGGAGGAGAAAATATTTGCAGTACTGTACTGTATTTATCGAAAAAAATCTGCATGTAAGTGGACCTGTGCAGTTCAAACCCACGTTGTTCAAGGTTCAACTGTAGGTTTTATTTCAGTTGTGAATATTTATATACACACCTCCCCCTTAACATCTCGGCTGGCTGATAATGGAGAATACATGCAGCAACAGAAAGTAAGCTATCTCAGGTGTTTTAGTGATAAAACTCAAGCTTCTTAGCTTGGTACCTAGAGTCCTCTTTCTCTGGATCCTCCTTATCCCTTTAGCCTTATTAACCTATCTCTTCCACCCACAATCCAGTGCTCCAGCCATATGTAATTTCTCCCTGGCCCTGCATATGCTAGGACATTCCGTCTTTGTGCCTGTGCATCTGCACTTCTCCTTTACCTTTAAAGCCTTTCCCCTCTCCTTTGTTGGATCCTTCAAAGCCTATAGGGTTCCTTTGTCTTCTTGGCTCCTTTAGGCAGAATGTGCCCTGTGTCATGGCTTCACTATATTGTGGTTGATCTACTGGAAGCTTCTTTAGGGCAGGACCTGAGTCTGGCTGTATCTCTGCAGTGCTCAGCACAGTGCTTGGCAGAGCTACTTGCCCTCATCTGATAGTGGGGATATCATTGATTGACTAGACTGTAGGAATCCTTCTGCAGGAAAGAGGAGGGGCCCTGGTCAGAAGTGGAAAATGGACAGTTGGGGATAGAAAAGGCAGGTATTAAAAAGCCAGGGTAAACTGCTCCTCCTTGTTTCCCTGGGATGCCTCCAGAAAGGTCCATGCAAGGCCTGTGAACTCTGAAGAGCAAGTTCTGTGTCTCTGAATCAGAAAATCTCAGGTTGGGTTCTTTTCTGTGTTCATTTTTTTGCTGCCATCCTGAAGTCCATGGTAACATCTGGTTAGAACATTTGATCCCAGGCGCAGCAGTACACAAGGTCTGTGTCCTCACAGTGCACCAAGGCAGCATAATGGTGGCAGGGACAGAGATTAGACAACACACTTCCCTAGGGGGAGAGATAGGAATCTTCACTTAGGGGCCCTGGCCTCCACTCATATGTGGAGACTGTTCTTCTCTTGGCAACTTTGAATTATCAGTGTGTTATTTTACTACAGCAGCCAGCAAGGTTGGAACTAGGGTGAGATGAGTGAGATATTTGCCTTAGGCGTAAAATAAGGGGGTGCTAAAAACCTCAGCAATCAGGATAGTGTTTTAATGCAATGTGTGTGTGTGTATTTTATTTTTATTTATTTATTAATTAATTTTTTAATTTTTTTAATTTTTTAATTTTTTTATGCGTGTGTGTATTTTCTTTTCTTTTTTTTTTATTTTTTTATTTTTTTAGAATATCTTTTTTTTTTTTTTAAACGT